TTTCTTTTTTTCTGGTTATTTTATCATACACTTCATTTTTGCACATGTATTGCTTTTCCATGTGCTGTTGTGTTGTATAGCTTATAGTTATGAAGTAAATTTCATTCAACACATGTCTAGAAAAAAAAAACAGTAAGAGAAACTTTTCAGTGATTTGTGGCTATGTAGAAAATTTAAAATATCCAGAGCTGTCAATCTGTCATCTTTCATAAGAACCAGAAGTTTACTTTTAAACTCTCTACATGGAAGTTTTTCTATCATTATGAAAATGTCTTTCTATCATCACAAAAAAATCAATTCTGAAGGGAAATAACTAGGAGCAATAAGATGAAATTAAGAAAAGGAATATTTAGATAGAACTGAAGTCAACTTTTCTAATATTATAGTATGGATAAGGTCTCTGGAAGGAACATTCCATTACATAGTACAGCTTATTACGTTAGACAGTTTTAATTGGATTGTACGATAGAAGCCTAGAACCCATTCTACTGTAGGTAAGGAATTACTGAAGTCTCACACACTCCAGCACTATATTTGAAGATAATAAAGTGTCCGGATTTCTTCAATTGTATCTACAATGGCTATCAAAATTGACATTTACATTTCAAAACAAAAAAACCCTGCTGAAATTATATATAATTTATGCTTTTAGCACAATACCTTATTACCTTAATTTTGTAAAGACGGGAGGATATGGAAGCAGAAAGCTTGATTCATTAGAAACAAAGGCCTTTTGGCAGATCTCCAATAAAATCACCGCATAAACAGTAGTTCACTTGCATCCTTTTTTCCCCCCATGGTTAACAGCAACAGTATTTTCATAATATCAACATTTATGAGTAAATTTAAATGATTACCCTCTGTCTGAATCAGCATTTATCTATTAAAAATGTGTTTCATTTGGAGGAGGCGTGAACAAATATGCAACAGTGGACAAAGTAACATTTTATCAAAATGACAGCACTGTTAGCATGTGCAAAGTACCTGCTGCAACTCCAGAGTCAAATTCACCATTAAATGAAACTGCTTTTCACACTAGAAAAGTATCTCAACGAATTTAACAGAGCTGGCAATGTAATATTGTCTATATTAACAGCATACTTTTAACATAGTTATGAATTCCTGAGACAGGAGTTCACAGCAGAAATTTCTGATTCTCCAGAGATTATTTTGTTTTTTAACACAAGTATAAATGTAACACCAGCAATCAATTATAACACTAAAAGCAGTAATAATTAAAACATGAAAATTCATGGGGAAACTGTATTCTTCTTTTATATGGCATACAACAAGCAATTAAAGTAATATTTTCATGTTTTTTTCCTCTTTACAGCTTACTGATATATGAAGCTTGGAGATCCATTATTAAATGCTGAAGGTAAAACAAAATAAATGAGAAAACACATAGACGTTGGAAGGAAAAGAATAAATGTTGACATTAATGTAAGATTTGTTTTTGTTTAAAAATCAGAAAATAATAATAACAAGCATCTATACAGAAGCTTATACTTGTTTCGACTTCAAAAAGAAAAAATAATTTTCTGTCAATAACGCCACCTTTAAATAGAAAGATATTTTGCGTCTTTTACTCCATTAATAAAAGCAAATAGTGATAAATAAATTTTAGCCTGGAACAATACTTAGTACAGTGATTTTTAATTTCTAATACAGAAAGTGCTCACTCATTCTTTGATAGCTTTAAATGGCTGTTAGGAGATAGAAGCAGTAATTTTTCTTGGGTTTAGCAATAACAGCAGACCTGGAGTCTGATCAGCAGTGGTCATACAACCAGTTAAAAGAAAACAGAAATTAATTTATGTTTCATAATAACTTTTTAATTTGTGAAATGTTAATCATAAAAAAAATCATTAATGGTTTTATTTACAAAGAATGAATGCCAGCATCAAACCCAATTTACCAATGACACTCTGCCAACAAATGGTGATTCACAAACTGAGCAAGTGAATTAACAATCATTTTCTTTACAAAATAATAGTACGCAAAAATATAACTTGGCAGTACTTCCCTCTTTTTAATGTGGACACTAATTAGAATAGTTATATAAAAAAGATTTGAATTAAATATGTCAAGGTCTCAGAATTGTTTGAATTCCTCTTTGCTTAATTAATCCAAATATTTAAATTAGCTTCTTCATGTAATTTGGTGTTTCAACCAGAATTCCACTGAATCCCACTGAAAGGCACATAAAATTATTATTTGAAGACTGCTTATATAGCTCCCTTTTGAAACCTGCAACTAAAATAGAGATGTAATCCCTTTACATAAAACATCTTCAAGAAGTCATGCTCTCTGTTAATTAGCCAAGCACTTATCCTATTCTCTAACGGACCACCAGATCTCACATAGCACACAACTCATCAGGTTTGTGATTCTCCTTTTTCTTGGTTAAGTCTAGAATATTCATGCAAACTACATTCCAGCTCAAACTTTTTCCCTGCTTTTCCTACAGTTTCCAGAAATTAAAGAAAAAAAAAAAAAGACAAAAAAAAATGTTTTGGAAGCTGCAGTGATCAGCAAGTGTCCAAAATTTTACTTTAGAAAAGCCACATATTTACAGCACAGAAAGTAAACACTATTGAATGCATTTGCCTATCTTAATTTGCCATTTCTCCACAGTTCTCTTTAAGCTTGTGGTATTCATGGAGTGCTCCGCATTTAGTGTGATTTTTTTACTCAAGTATTCTTTTGCAGGACAAAATACAGTTTTTCATTGTTTTCCTTAGAATCCTAACACTTAAACTTTGTAGGCATTTATAACAAGTATTCATTGTCCCTAGGAAAACATTCTTCCTCCATTTTACTAATATGGAGTGCCCACAATTTTAGCACAACAGTGAGCACTGAACAAAAACTAACTCTGTCCTTAGTGAAAATGATAAGCAGATCTTAGTCTCCCCCTCCTCAAAACAGTGTTGTAACACTGTTTAGGAACAAGAAAAAGTAATGCAAGCCAGTCACTTTTGTATTGAAGTCTAAAAAATGAAGAATGAGTTTTACCATTGAATCCCAAGGTCTAGTGCAGTATCTCCCATGTATCCATAAATTATGGAAAATTTCTATCTAACTAAAGATTGGTTATTTTCTCTTTTCATTTTAAAATGGATTGATATTATTAATTCTAAATTTCTGTTTCAACTTTTCTGTTGTAACAAACTTACGTTCAAAGAATTACTCTGCCAAATTAAAATGATCTTTGTCTCTCACTGGACTTTTTAAGCACTTCTTTGCAACCTGCACCTGTTAACCAGAATCTCATGTGAATGGACTCACAATTTCTTCAAGATAAGATTGGGTGCAAAAAGACACATCTTACCCTATTTGCACTATCGTAATATTGAGGTTATCTATAATTACATTGTCTTCTTAGCAAGTGCAGGAAGTAATACCAATATTCTTTATAAATAGATCAGTCTTCCAGAGAAAGTCTTCTTGACACATGGCAAATTGTGAGTACTCGTGTGAACAAATCAAGTTCTGTGCTGAGCTGTTCCATCACTGTCAATATACTTGACATGAATTCAGAAATCTAGCCAGCATTTGGAAGCAATAATTCCTACAAATCCTTTTAATGTCACAAACTGTATGACAGTTGCATTAATTAGAATAAAATAATAAAATCTTAATAAAATGATAAATAGATAATAAAGAAAGCTTTTGCTGCACAGTTCCAGACAGTTTACAGTTTTCAGATCACTGCCATGGATCATATTCTGAAGTCAAAGAAACAAAATGAGAAGAAAACAAAGAGCTCAAGGACGTAATGTAATAAATTTATTCCTTTAAATGGCAAATACCTGTTTTCAAGGAGATAGGACTGCAATCACCAATAGGTTAGCAAAAGGCTAGCAACCTATCAGAATAGTATTTTTTGCAAATACAGTAGCTAAAACTGATAATACGATTTGAATTAACATATCCATAACACCTGCAGACTCATCTATATAGCATTATCAATAATTTTCCGCAAATAAACGCCTTTTTTTTCTCGGAAAAGAAATGATTTTGCATTGCATTTTTCACAATATTATACAGAATAAATCAGATTCTTTCCATGAGGAAATTACCACCTAATCACTGGCCACGAGCAGCAGTTAAGACATTGCTAAGAAGCAGTTTGACTGATACTATTTTATTAGCTTAGTTGGACAACAATTACCAAGCAAGACAAGTCTGAAACTCCATTTAATTCAAGATGCTACTTTGAGCAGTGTTTAGCACCAAATGCTTCAGAGGCAAGTCAAAGAAACATCAGAATAACCTAATGAGTATTATCTTGGCAAATTTATGGAAAAAAAAATCAAAAACGTGTACTTTATGAAAGTCAAGTCTAACTCCATTTTATGCATGTCATTTTAAACTGTTTTTATAATTTAGTATGTAACTGATATTATTTGAAATTCCGTAAATCCAGCAACCTCAGAAATGGCAATAAGGGCATTAGTTGTGCACTATGTGCACTTACATCAGTGTAACTACAGAATGTTCTTACTGTAGACTAGTTACAAAGGTGTAGCTGAGCACTGAACCTGACAGAGTGTAGACAGTATTATAGTTAGAGTAATACTCCCCATGTGTGCCACATTACATATGCTAAATATACAAATTTAAATGCAAATTGAGAAACAGTCTGTAAAGATCAGATTAGGAAGATAAAAATGTGCTTTGCATTAAAGAATAAAAATTATGTTACTTCAAAACTGTCAAAAGGTGAAAAAGCTGTAGGTCATGCAAGTATGGTGAGCCTCAGTGTACGAGTTGTTGAAATAAGTTACCCTTTCCAACCTCTTAATGTAACTTGTAATTTTTATAATGAAGAAATTTAACCTGCTTACTTAGTAAAAACAGTTAACGTGTATTGGTGAGATTAAAATGCTTAAACAAAACAACCTCCACCTATAGTTACATAAAAACAATCGGCATCAAGGCAGTTAACCATGTAATCTCATAAACCACAGGTGAAAAAGTATTTTATTTCTAACCTCTGCTGCCAGTTGCTGAAGAGAAGGGGATGCAACAGGGTGTAAAGTTGAGTTGCCTCTGACCGGATTATGAAGGCTAATGTAAGCCACAACATTTCTTTGAAGAACTCTCTTGAGATCCTACAACACAAGCAGAGCAATGGTTATAATTAATAGTTGTTTTGTTCTTTCAGTTCCTTCTAGGGAAAAAATGCACCTTATGTTTTTGTCATCTGTGATTCCATAAGTATTACTTAAGTACTACTTTTTACAACATGCTGTTAAGAACTTCAAAGGAAACATTAGAGTTACTTCTCTATATAGTAGAAGTTATAATTTCATTTCACACATCACCTCAACAAAATGCAAACAGGCCTAGAAGGAATTAAAAATGAGTACACTTGTAAAGCCAAAAATGAAAACATTACATACTGTTAACCTATGTAAAGGCCTTTTAAACTTAACGCCTGTCAGAAAACAAACTTTAAAAGCAATCATTATCAACAGTTAGATGTACTCAAATTTTTAGAGACCAAATTCAGGCTTGAAGTACTTCACTTTCCCAGTATTTTAATTTTGTCATGGTTTAGACTACAAAAACAGTATGTACAAACTGTTTCAATTATCTCTTTTTTAAAAAAAATCCACTTTACCTTCTCAGTAATGAGCTACTCTTCGCATGAAATGGCTCTTTATATTGAACAGAAGGGGTGTAACACAATTACATCCAATGTAAACCTGACTCAAAGTGGAACTAAACAAATTTGGCTTCCAGCTTGGATCTTTTCAATTCAATTTTTTCACCCCACTTTGTTTTTGAAGAAAAATCATGTTGGAAGTATGAAACGTCAATGAGAGCTATCCACTCATGGATGATAAAAACCAATTAACTCTTCATTTTATCTACTGTTTTAATTCAGCAGCCATGAACCTCTCTGCTAGCTATTCCTTTAGATTATCAACTGAAGTCTACTGTAATCATAGATGATCAACAATACTCTGATGAGGTATTTTCTTTCAATAAGCTGATTTCTATTCTGTTGAAAGCAAGAGCCCAAGGAATTGTCCGTGTCAGATCGTATCTAACTCCTTAGCACAAATAATATGTGCACCAGCCATGGAGACACTTAAATGTTTATGTAATTAACATAAATCATGGTACAGTTCTCTTCATTCAGTGTGCTCCTGATTCAGTTCTCCCCATACTAAGGCTATCAATTACAAATCAGTAACTGTTGAACCCCCAAGAAGGAGAAAAAGCCCTCTAGACTACTCCTGGGCCTGGGTCTTTTTTGAGGTTATCCCCCAAACTCTGGCAATGTCCTCTTTTACAGTCCTCTGTTGAATTAGGGAGAGGAATCAGCTCACAAAGGTGCTGTATATGCAGCCTTCACAGCTATGGGAACAACTTGCCATCTCATTATCACACACGCTCTGTTCCAAAGGAACTGTCTCTAGAGAAGTCTTCACTGCATTTGCTATGGGGTATGTGAATGTACACAAACCCCTTTCACAGACCAATTAATGAACCATAATTTCTATGTGTTAATTTCATACTATTTTCATACTTTCAACAAAAGTAATCATAATTGCAATGAGTCCTTCTAAAATTCTTTTACCTCTGCCCATTCATATGAACCAATGTTCCCAAATGAAGTTCCTCCCCATGAGCAGAAAACAATGGTCCGGTCAGGTTTCCAGCCTCTCTTAACTTTCAACATCAAGGCTTGTATAAATGCTGTGATGATAGCAGTGCTACTGGCCCATTCTTGTCCACCATAAGTATTGAAACTGTTGTGATGACTACCAATGATGACATATCTGTCTGAAATGTGAAAAAGAAGACAGACAAGAGAATTTTATTTCTTCTGGATACTAGCATTAAAGAATTTAAAAAAAAAAAAACCCTAAAAGATGAACTGTATTAGTAGTCTGTAATGTCATTAATACAACACAATGTTGTCAACAAAAATTTATATGATCACATAAAGACAATCATACAATATAAATCTGTGACAACTACTTAAAAATAAACTAGTAAATAAATATATGTAGACACTTTCCTAATTTAATCCTGGTGTCCTTGCCTTAATTTTTTGCTTATTACTTTCCTTTCTTAGAAATCTCATATATACCATTTTTTGCAGCCAGGGCTTCAGCACTGGGACAATCGAATAAAGTTTCATGCTCACATTAGAGTGTTATGAAAAAACACAAACAAATAAGCAGGAAACTCTATCTTCAATACATATTAGTGTCCAAAAAAAAACCCGAAAACAAAAGGTGTGGTAGTACAATGAGAAACATAGAGAAAATACACAAAGTATTGGTACTCCCTCACCTGGAAGACTGTGTTCAGTGCTCACCACCCTATCTCAAAAAAGACATTGCAGAAACAGCAGTTGAGAAGCTGGTAACCAGAACGGTTATATATCAGGACTTAGACTTCCATGTAAGGAGAAAAGACCTGGATTGCAGGTTTAGAGAGGAGACATGACAGAGGAATAGAGATAATGAATGATATAGAAACAGTAAGTCAGACCTAGCAAGTTCGATGATAGTGGAAGAAAGTATTTTATAAAATGAAAAGCAAGAAGTTTCAACCTGAAAAAAAGAACATGCCTATGGTTATCCAGAAAAAAACCCACTTTTTTTTTTTTTTTTTTCCCCAGAGAAATTAAATGAAACCTTAATCTCTTGAGGCATAATATGTTGAAGGCCAGGTTGGATGAGTCTCTGAGGAACCTGGTCTAGTGGAAGGCGTCCCTGCTCATGGCAGGGGGGTTGGAACTGGATGATCTTTAAGGTCCCTTCCAACCCTTACTATTCTATGATTCTATCATTCTATGATATAATCTAAATATTAACTCACAAGTGTAAATAACCTTATTTTTTTACAAAATGATGATGTGGTATGAAACAACATGAATGACTAGTGTGATTGAAATGTGTCAAGAAGTCTAAGCAGAGATATGCTGAATGACTTATTAAATTATTAGACCTTCTGTGTGAGATAAAATCACAACTGAAGCCTTTTTGAAGGAGTGTTTACTGGTTGTGTTCTGATATTTAGTAAAGTCTCTTTCTGGAACAGATCTAGACTTTTAAAGGTGTTCTTTCCATATTTCAGGATACCGATAGAGAACAGAAGAAAATTTATCAAGTGATTTCAGATCCACAACAATCTCTGGGTGTCACTTGGTTTCCTAAAAGTGCAAAAAGTTTTGGTTTTCTGACAGTATTCTTTCTTTCTACAACACAAGATGATTTTCTATCAACTGCTTAGGGGGTGTATTAGTATGTAAATGAAAATTTCTTCCTAAAAGTAGATATGCAAAATGTAAATTTAAAATAATTTAATGTAACAAAATGCAGTCTAAATCATATAATTTTGCAACTTGTGTGTTGCATCATGGGATGTTTAATTATAGCTTGCACTGACAGTGAAAAATCATAAAATCTTCAACTCAATATTAGGAATTGGGAACTGAAATGAATGGCCCTACAGGCTTCTAGATCATTAGAGGAAGTTCCACTAACACGTATGCCCCATATTATAATCTCTGTTCAGTGTGCGAAAAGTGTATGTGAAAGGGAGTGGAAAGAGATCTTATGTAAAACAGTATAGGACATTTTGATGAAGAAGAAAGCTACAAGCAGCAACTTACTGTAGGAGATGCCAGCTGAATGAACAAGGGTAAAACGTAACAGCTGGTGCCTCCTTTGAAATTCTTCATCTTTGCACATCTCTCCCTCTTGAAAAGAGGCAATACCCTGAAGCAAATGACTATAGGAAAAGCATAGGAGAAAGGATGGTCATGCTTACAGAGACAGCAGCTGTCCTTTCTCATAATCATTTGCTGAAGCATGTAGAGAAGGAGACCACACGGTAAGAAAAAAAAAAAAAGGACGAGAGATAGAGAAAAAAAAAAATCCATCCCATACTTTTGAAAGTGATAAGAAGAGACAGCATTCAGTAGTGATGGGCAGGACAACAGGGATTTATCATTAAAAAAAAAGTGATTTTATATCGTCTTCTCTTGTGATACAGCCTATTTTCAACTTTGTCCAATAGAGCTACAAAAGCAGTGTTATGTTTTTTAGGTTTTAAAAGGCTACCAACTATCATATTTCCTCTGCTCCTAAATCTTTTTTAATATTTTGGTTGGATTTCAGATGCTCATTGTTATTCCTCAGATCAAATGTCAAATAAGATCACCATTACATAGATGTGTTTGTGTGTGTGTTAGGAGGCCTTTAAGCAAAAAATAATCCACCTTGGCGATGCTCCACAGTCTTTCATTAAGCACTAAAGACAATTTTGCTTTCTTTCTGCATTTCTGAGAATGTAAAGGTAAATATTTCAGGGGTATGAAACTAGCAAAACCCCATCAATATAACAGAATCAATACCATGAAAACATACGAGTATTCAAATCAGTTGGGAGGGCATGGTTACAGCATCAACCAGGAAGAACAAATGAAGGTTTAACACTGATTCTGTACAAAATGTTACCCATGGTGCATTAGAAGCTTAACATGTGCCTACATTACAAGCCAGTTGCTATGGCCCTTGTTCAACAAGCCATTTATGGGACAAACTGTTGGCATCTACGTAGTGCTGCTCACTTCTCTTGATTATATATCCTTAAATTCTTAAAGTTAAGCATATACTGACATACCTTTAAAAAGTAGCTTCTTATTAAGAATGCAATAATAAGATGATAAATTCAGGTATAGAGAAGATAAAGAACTTATTAAACAGAAACTGACGCATGCTTTGCATTATTTGTCTGGCTTCTGTTTCACAATTCAGTAGACAGCATGTCTGAACACGGCACTTTCTATCTTCTAAATTCCATGACACTTATTTGCAAAACATTAGCAATAGCAGACTAGTAACTTCAAATTCTTGAAGGATATTAAATCCTTCATTGAAATTAAATTCACTATGCTAATTGTTTTCTATGTTAAAAAAAAAAAAAGTTCTGGAGAAAAGCACAGCATTCAGCACACACAAACACAAGTAATTATTTCACTAACAATATGAAATAACTGTCCCACCACCTAAGGGACTGTAGATAAATTTGCAACCTTTCTTCTGAACCTAATCTAAGAGTATTAATCAAGGCAAACATAACAATGTTTTGGTGACAGTATCATCAGTACATTAGGAATTGGACTGGGTCTACAACATTTTGCCCTAGGTAAGTAACCAGCAATAGTGTTCATTCATGTTGCAGAAACCCTTCAACTTTTAGGCAAATTCACCTGCAGACAGAATAAGCCCCAAATGATCTTCATTCCTATGATGTCCTGATCATAGTATTATTTGCATACAGCACCAAAAGAGGGAGGAGGTTTGTGGTTTATGTCACAGTTGCACTTAGAATCTTATTGTTTAATTCTTAGACATACTGAACATTAATTATTATTCATGGACTTGTACAAAAATAGCTTAGGGCATGATTGCAACACAAAATAAAGCTGCAGCAAGTATGATTAAGAACTTAGTCACAGAATTTTATACACTATAATCACATCTGATATTAGATTCTTAACTAAGCCAGAGATGATGCTGCTCTACACATTGGTTTCAGTGAGACACATGAATTATGTAGGGAAGTTCTGGACTTGAAGCACTGAGTTTTAGGTATAAAAATTCTGCTAACATTATAAAAATAAAATCAAAACCCTTTCTAAGGTTTTATACACAGTTTGCATATTAATATAAATCATGCAATACAGAGTGCACCCTACAATTAAAACCATCAACATAGTTACTTGGTATAAAATACTAATATTTCCTATGGTCTACATGTAATTCCTGCTTGTTGCATAAAAATATCCTTATTGTAACTATAATAACCCCTTGAGTACATTCTCTGTTTAACCCTTCTGTTCTGTTTTGGCATAAATCAATTCACAAAATTACTACAACAAAGGTGCTCTCCTTCCTCTGTAGTAGTGCTTTATCTGGCAAAATAGAATCCTGATCCCAGCTATGACTCACAGCCACCAAGAAACAAATAATCAATACAAATGATAAAGGGCTACTTACCAGGAAATACAGTTCCTTTTAAATATCCAATAACGTTAGAAATTGTCTTGTAAGTTGTTACAGACTGAATATTCAGACTGATTATTTTTTTGCCTGTTGAAAGATAAAAACCAAAACGTTAAACTTGTTTATCCAGCCAAGAAATCTACAAGCCACAGATATAAATTCCCCCCTTGTCCCAGCCTCCTCCCGACCACCCCCCCCCCCCCAAAAAAAAAAAAAGAAAAAAAAAAGTTAGTGAAGAGGAACTGGAGATTAAAACGTTAGATATTACATTATTTTCTTAGTCCTATTTTAGAAATTGGGTTCAAAACTGGAATCTCAAAAGAGATCTCTACTCTTTGAGTTAAAAGATTACTCAATTCACTCAGTAAATGCTGCGAGAATAAAACCACAACAACAACAAAATTAAAAGAGTAGGATTTACATAACTCTATGACAAGGAAATTTGTGTTAATCTTTATAGGTTTTTCTCACCTAATCCTTCACCCAGGTCAATCTTTCAGTAACATTCACAAAATTATACCTGGTTTATATTAGACCCTCTGCATTACTAATCACTTTGCCAGCACAGCCTATGGTGATATACTTGTGAACTTATGGCAACAGAAGACAGCTTTTGTTGGCTTAGCTGGTGTCGACTGAGGAAATTGTGTAAATACAAAAGCAGAAAAATTCCAAAACCTGCCAATATATAAGGGACTTGCCAGTATTGCTATGGCAGTTAAGACTGTAGCACAGGATAAAGCCTGAGAAAAATAAGTTAAAAGAACTTTAAAAAACCATAACTTTACTTTCCTGAGAATTACTGTAATTCCCTCTGTCCCCCAAGGTGGGACACACTAACCATACTGAGTCCTGCAGTTCGTGGCAATGGAAACAAACCCACTAACTACAGGGAGTGCTGATACCTTAAAAATGTTTTGTTTGCATTATAATAGAATGTATTAACATTCATCTCATCTGAAAGGTCACAACTTCTATTTGAGAAAAGTGAAAATGTCTTAAACTGCTCTAACTTAAATGCTAGCAATTGTCTGACAACAACCACTGTGTCATCCCAGACCTTCAGGGAGGTCCTTTTCCATCCAGAGGACTGCACCACCCCCATGGCAGACCTGTGTTTAAAGTCAACTTTGAGCCAGAATTCCTTTAGTGTCCATATCCCAACTGTCACAGACCAAAATTAAAATACTCCATGGATCTTTTTGTTCTCTATCTCCCAGGCCATTATCCTCCCACAGATGTATTTCTAACAGTTTGTTTCCTGGCTTTGTTTCCCGAGATGTGCAGAATAAGCAAGTGAGGAGTTTACTGCAACATGTAAAATAAAAACAATACATCTCTATGATACTGTTTTTCAAGGTTCATTTGCTGGCACTTCATCTGGTAAATTTACTTTAAAGTTCTCTTAAAACAAAATTCAATATATTTTCATCCACTAGTCTTCACTGATATTTGAAAAAAAAACCAAAACAAAACCAACAAAAAAACCCAACTGCTAGGATCTTTTTTTTTTTAAAAAAAGTACTAGCAATATTTATTCTACATTTTCCTCAGACAAAACCTCCTCTGTTATCAATAGATGTGTTCTCTATGTGACAACTCTGTTTTTCCTAGAACACAACAGCAAAGAAGGCAGGTCAAGCACAGTTAATTAAAAATAAACCACAGCACACTATTTTGCAATAATCAATCACAGAAACTTAATATTTTCATCTGTCGTGCATATGTTGGGGATTGAGTTGTAATTACCTTTGCCCTTCTGATGTAAGTTACTGTAAGGTTTATTAACACCACATGATGTGTTTGTTCAATAAACCTACAGATTATTTTAGAATTTTAAAAAATATTTTATTTAAAAGAATATTAAACCAAAGTGTTCCCAGCACGGTATTGTCACCTATGTTCTTTTTTTTTGTCTTTTAAAACAATGCGAAAACAGCTCATGGCAGCCACGTTGACTGAGCAGTTTAAATTTAATCTATACTATGCAAGTTACTTCTTGCTGCAGTTTCTCACCTACAACCACTCTAGAGCCAATTTACTCTACTTAAAAAAGACATTCAAGCCAAAACTGATTTCCTTTCTTTTTCTAATCCTACAGCACTTTAGAGATATGTTTCTTTAGGCCCCATTTCAGACAAAAAGAAGATAAATCTTTTTGAAGACAACTAATTTAACAGTTTTTCCTTAATCAACATCAGCTATCCAATCTTCAAACTGACAATAAGGAAACAGAAAATTAACTTCTGGCAACACATATTCTGAAATCAGATATTTGAGTTAATAGTCATGTAACACAGTAGTCAGCTTAAAGTGACTTGGGCTTAAAGGCTTAGCACACCAGATGAAAAGGCTAAAAGTACTCTTCGGAGTATACAGCAGAAGTGAAATTTAATCCCCTTTACACAGTTCTGACAACAAACCTCTCTTCCTAATGCTATATTTTAAAGATCTTGACAGCTTTCTTTTTTCTGTATTCTCCAGAAAACTATGAAGAGAATTTAGCTTAACATTATTTGGGATACAGTTTGAGATTGTGTAAGGCAAAAGCTACTTCTGAAGTAGAAGAACAGAAAAGTATTTATTGTTAATATTTTTTTATTTATTTATTTTTCACTTGAAATCTGTAAAATCGTCTCATACCAAATGATTACCTTCTCTTCTCATAAGTACATAGTTATTTTTAGAAATGCTTGTTTATTTCTTACTCATTTGATTGACAATTTTAGAACTTCAAATGAGTAAAAATTAGTACTTGTAGCCGGAAAAAAATATTTGTTTTTTATTTCCTTTTTTTCTTTTAACCTTATCTCAAGTTCATACCAACATAAAGGAGTATAAGTTTGGGTCTGATTTTCAAAGATGTTTGTTAAATTCTGAAATGCTGATTGTACTAACCACTTATAATCAGACAGTTTTCTGAACATTTCCTGAGTAATAACTGTCATTAGGGACTCAAGATTTGAAAACTGAAAATCTTTGTTACTGATATACAAAAAATCCCTACATGCACATTTAACTCCAGTATAGAAGCATCAAGTACCAACTGAATTAATGCATTTTGATAACAGTTCTTGGATCATAAAGAAGATATTTGAGAAGACTGCAATAACAAGGAACATTGAATAACTTCAAGTAACCTATTTTTTTATAATAATT